AGAAGGCCCCAGTGCTGCCGCCCGCATGCGTCACGCACACCCAATTCGGCACACCCCTCACACGTTTCGTGGCCCCATAGGGAGCTCCACCGAAGGCCCCAGTGCTGCCGCCCGCATGCGTCCCGCACACCCAATTCGGCACACCCCTCACACGTTTCGTGGCCCCATACGGAGCTCCGCCGAAGGCCCCAGTGCTGCCGCCCGCATGCGTCACGCACACCCATTTCGGCACACCCCTCACACGTTTCGTGGCCCCATAGGGAGCTCCACCGAAGGCCCCAGTGCTGCCGCATGCGTCACGCACGCCCAATTCGGCACACCCCTTCACAGACGTTTCGTGGCCCCATAGGGAGCTCCACCGAAGGCCCCAGTGCTGCCGCCCGCATGCGTCCCGCACACCCATTTCGGCACACCCCTCACACGTTTCGTGGCCCCATAGGGAGCTCCGCCGAGGGCCCCAGTGCTGCCGCCCGCATGCGTCCCGCACACCCAATTCGGCACACCTCTCACGTTTCGTGGCCCCGTAGGAAGCTCCACCGAAGGCCCCAGTGCTGCCGCCCGCATGCGTCCCGCACACCCATTTCGGCACACCCCTCACACGTTTCGTGGCCCCACAGGGAGCTCCACCGAAGGTCCCAGTGCTGCCGCCCGCATGCGTCCCGCACACCCAATTCGGCACACCCCTCACACGCTTCGTGGCCCCATAGGGAGCTCCGCCGAAAGCCTCAGTGGCGGCGCTCATGCGCATGCGTCCCGCACACCCATTTCGGCACATCCCGCACAGGTTTCGTGGCCCCATCATCCACCGGAGGCCCCAGTGGCAGCGCTCACATGCGTCACCCACACCCACCCAATTCGGCACACCCCTCACACGTTTCGTGGCCCCATAGGGAGCTCGGCCCCAGCGGCCGCGCTCACATGCGTCCCCGCCACCCATCCCGGCACGCCCCTCACAACAACAGGTTTCGTGGCCCCATAGGGAGCTCCACCGAAGGCCCCAGTGGCACCGCCCGCATGCGTCACCACCCGCACCCAATTCGGCACACCCCTCACACGTTTCGTGGCCCCATAGGGAGCTCCACCGAAGGCCCCAGTGGCGGCGCTCACATGCGTCCCCGCAACACATCCCAGTACACCCCTCACGCGCTTCGTGGCCTCATAGGGAGCTCCACCGAAGGCCCCAGTAGCGGCGCTTACATGCGTCTCCGCCACCCATCCCGGCCCCCTCCCCGCAGCAGCATCATGTTTCGGGGACCCATAGGGAGCTTCACTTGAGGCCCCAGTGGCGGCCCTCACATGCGTTTCCGCCACCCATGTCGGCACGCCCCGCGCATGTTTCATGTCCCTATAGGAAGCTTCACCGAATGCCCCAGTGGCACCCATCCCGGCACACCCCTCACACGTTCCGTGGTCCTATGGGGAGTTCCGCTGAAGATGAATCCCGCAGCTGCGGTACTAACAACTGCATATGGTTGGGTTCTTCGCCAGGCTAATTTTGCCCATCCTAAGTTTCAGTGGACTTGAGTGTAAATATTTGAGGACCGGTGTCGATTGCTCGATGTTGGTTTGACTCGCTCCGTCCGTAGCCATGTGGCTGCAGGCCTTCATCGGGGCCAGAGTCAGAGGAACCCCGGGGGAAAGAGTTCCCCCCTCGCCTTTCCTATCTTATCCTCCTCATTGAGCCTAATACCTACACTCCACATTCCATCCTATCCCACACTGTCCCAGCTCATTTGCTTGCAGTTTGCGGTGCCGGAGCGCACCTAAGTGGAGGCGGTCGCAATGATACGTGCTGCCGTGGAGAAAAGGAGATCGCGTAAAGCTTCTTCATACCCTCCCCCTTCCTCCTTGCTGCTCCCACTCTTGCCTGCCCGTGAAGCATCCATGCACGACGATCACATAAGTCGGGGGCGCGCAAACATGGACTAGCGATCCATGGATTTGGCGCGCGGTCGCCGAATCCATGTATCGGAGGAGGTGCTCTCCCCAAAATGCGGCCGGTGCCGCCATGTTCGGCGGCGGAAATCCGCGATTGCCCATGGAAGCGGGACCCGTCGCTAATCCACGCCCCTTGATCCATGCTTGCGATCGCCTGACTAGTCGCCCAGGTGCCGGAGGCACAGCCAAGTTTCTCCCACGAGTTCTAGACTGGCACGGCCTTCAGGCCGATCGGGAGTAGCGTAGCGTAGCGTCCGAGCGATGCCAAGAGCAATGCCAAAAAGGGGGTCACCACCGAGGGGACCGCCACCGCCTCCAGGGAACGGACCCTCCAGGATCCCCCACAAAAACGTGCCGAACCTCCTCGGATCCTCGTTCCTCGATCCTCCTCTCTCCTCTCCTCGATCCTCGATCTCTCCTCTCCTCGATCCTCGATCCTCGATCCTCTCTCTCTCTCTCTCTCTCCTCTGCTCTTTTCCTCGATCCTCGCTCGTCCTCTCTTCGATCTCCAGGATCTCCAGGAGGCGGTGGCGAACCCCCCCAGCGGCGGTGGCCCTTGGCACTTGGGTACGGCCAGGGGGTCTGAACTGGATGGGGCCCCAGAAAATCGATCGGAAGGGATGGCGAGGCCAAATCTGGTCAACATCGGAACTCGGACCCCTCCTAGGGTCCATCTGGTGCAGTCTTTCACCCCGGATCCCTTTTGGCGGCGGCAGAACAAAAATTGTCCTGGCGAAGAACCCAACCATATGCAATTGTGAGTACAACAATTGTGAATATCTTCTTCGGTGGCGCTCCCTATGGGGCCACGAAACGTGTGAAGAGTATGCCGAAATGGGTGCGCGGGACGCATGCGGGCACACCCACTGGGACCTTCGGTGGAGCCCCCTACGGGGCCATGAAATGTGCGAGGGGTGTGCCGAAATGGGTGTGCGGGACGCATGCGGGCACACCCACTGGGGCCTTCGGTGGAGCTCCCTATGGGACCACGACACGTGTGAGGGGTCACGAAACGCGTGAGGGGTGTGCCGAAATGGGTGTGCGGGACGCATGCGGGCACACCCACTGGGGCCTTCGGTGGAGCTCCCTATGGGGCCACGAAACGTGTGAAGAGTATGCCGGAATGGGTGTGCGGGACGCATGCGGGCACACCCACTGGGACCTTCGGCGGAGCTCCCTATGGGGCCACGAAACGTGTGAGGGGTGTGCCGAAATGGGTGTGCGGGACGCATGCGGGCGGCAACACTGGGGCCTTCGGTGGAGCTCCCTACGGGGCCACGAAACGTGTGTGGGGTGTGCCGACATGAATGTGCGGGACGCATGCGGGCACACCCACCGGGACCTTCGGTGGAGCTCCCTTTGGGGCCACGAAACGTGTGAGGGGTGTGCCGAATTGGGCGTGCGTGACGCATGCGGGCGGCAGCACTGGGGCCTTCGGCGGAGCTCCCTTGGGGCCACGAACGTGTGAGGGGTGCCGAATTGGGTGTGCGTGACGCATGCGGGCGGCAGCACTGGGGCCTTCGGTGGAGCTCCCTATGGGGCCACGAAACGTGTGAGGGGTGTGCCGAATTGGGTGTGCGTGACGCATGCGGGCGGCAGCACTGGGGCCTTCGGTGGAGCTCCCTATGGGGCCACGAAACGTGTGAGGGGTGTGCGTGACGCATGCGGGCGGCAGCACTGGGGCCTTCGGCGGAGCTCCCTATGGGGCCACGAAACGTGTGAGGGGTGTGCCGAATTGGGTGTGCGTGACGCATGCGGGCGGCAGCACTGGGGCCTTCGGCGGAGCTCCTATGGGGCCACGAAACGTGTGAGGGGTGTGCGAATTGGCCGTGGCAGCACTGGGGCCTTCGGCGGAGCTCCCTATGGGCCACGAAAGGTGTGAAGAGTATGCCGATGCTGTGCGGGACGCATGCGGGCGGCAGCACTGGGGCCTTCGGCGGAGCTCCTATGGGGCCACGAAACGTGTGAGGGGTGTGCCGAATTGGGTGTGCGTGACGCATGCGGGGCGGCAGCACTGGGGCCTTCGGCGGAGCTCCCTATGGGGCCACGAAACGTGTGAGGGGTGTGCCGAATTGGGTGTGCGTGACGCATGCGGGCGGCAGCACTGGGGCCTTCGGCGGAGCTCCCTATGGGGCCACGACACGTGTGAGGGGTGCCGAATTGGGTGTGCGTGACGCATGCGGGCGGCAGCACTGGGGCCTTCGGCGGAGCTCCCTATGGGGCCACGAAGCGTGTGAGGGGTGTGCCGAATTGGGCGTGCGTGACGAATGCGGGCGGCAGCACTGGGGCTTTCTGCGGAGCTCCCTTTGAGGCCACGAAACGTGTGAGGGGTGTGCCGAATTGGGCGTGCGTGACGCATGCGGGCGGCAGCACTGGGGCCTTCGGCGGAGCTCCCTATGGGGCCACGAAGCGTGTGAGGGGTGTGCCGAAATGGAGGAGGGAGGAGGGAGGAGGGGGAGGAGGAGAGGAGAGGAGAGGAGAGGAGATGAGAGGAGAGGAGAGGAGAGGAGAACACGGGGCGACGTCTCGTCAAAACGAGGACCCAACACCACAGGATGGTTGGGAACAAAAACGGATGGAACCCAGGATCTAGGACCTCTCCCCCCCTGCTTGCTGGCCAGGACCAATGCTTGGCCACCTCAGGCCCCCAGCCGGCTCCAACGTGGCACTGCCCGAAAGCTTCAGGCTGGTGCTAGGTCGGGCATGTTTTCCTATAGGCGGACTTTGGGAGAAAAAGGAACCATACAGTAGGGGCCCGACCACAAGAAACCTGCCACAAGAAACCCAACCCTGAGACCCCAGGAGGTCCACCGATTTTTGGCGTGGGGACGTCGCGCTTTCCACAGCAAAACCATCGAAACCCAAGGAACCCACGGCACCCTGGAGACAAGCAGGGTGTTTCTTGGCATGGACCTCCACTGTAGCCAAAACATGCTCAGACATCGTGGAACATAGTCGGACAATCGTCTCCAGAGTTTCTCTTTTGACTATCGTTCAATATCCTTCCTGTGGAGGGACACGCCCGACTGAAAGGCTGGTGCGCCGTGGCCGGGCGACTGCGCTCCTTGTGCGCCTCCGCCACGAACTCCCGCAGCCTCGCCCGCGCGCCCAAAAGCGGGCGCGCGCCGCCGCGGCGGTGTCACGCCCGGGGTGAAAACCGCCGAGAGACGGAGGATCGAGGAGGAGGAGGAGGAGGAGGAGGAAGAGGAGGCTGAGGAGGAGGAGGATCGAAGAGGAGGAGGAGGACGAGGATCGAGGATCGAGGAGGAGGAGGAGGAAGCTTAGGGGGAGGAGGGAGGGGGAAGGAGGGAGGGGAGGAGGAGGAGGAGGAGGAGGAGGAGGAGGAGGAGGAGGAGGAGGAGGAGGAGGAGGAGGAGGAGGAGGATAACGCACTGCCCTGGCGGACGCCGCGCAGTGATCGCGCCTAGCGTGCACAGAGAAAGGGGACAGGCAATCGCCCATCCAGTGTGCTAGCAAGGTGCGACTCGCCCCCACCGAGGATCACGGGGCGGGCCGCCAGCACGGACGGCTCAGGAGAGCCAGGCGCAAGCGCCAAGATACGTAAACCCAAAACGAGCGCTAGGCCCCAGAGGGGCCCAAGCGCAACCAGAGCGTTTCGGGGTCGGTGGCCAAAAGAGGCCGAGGGGTTCGAAGGGTGCGGCCGTTAGGCCTGCCTTCGTCGGCAGGGTGCCGTCACTCCAAGAACAGTTTGCGATTACGAGTCGCACTCTCCGACATCTGGTTGAAGTCGGGAGGGCGACAGTCCACAAGGAGGTGACTTGCGACCCCTGTGGTGTAAAAACCGCAACGAATACACAAAACAACCTCCCCTGTGGCGACCCAGCACCGATGCCCTCTAGCCGCCTCGGGCGGCACAGTGCCAGCAGCTGGCAACGGGGTAATCGGCACGATGGTGTCGCTCAATCTGGGGCGGGGGTTGTTGCGAGCTTGACGCCTACGCTTAACTCTGGGGAGGTCGGCATCGACGTCCGCAATGGCTCGATCCTGCTGCTCCTGGCAAGGAGACCGAACCAGGACGATGGGATCAAAAGTGACTCTCGGCCTGACGCTGCGACTGCCCTCGCCTTCAGAACTAGACGAGCGAGGACGACAGGACGACCGACGAAGGTCCGAAACGTCGACGAAGACGTGAGGAGGCGAGAAGGCAGCAGCATGGGCGCTACCAGTGCTCCTCTCAGGAATAGGAGCCTCCGTCCCCATGGCGGTGTCGTCGCCAGCCACGGCCACCTCACTAGGAAGCTGCACGTCTCGGCCAGCTTCGGCGTCTCGAAGAGACGCCGAGGCCGAAGGGGGCGCGTCAGAGCCCATGGAGGAGCCGACGGCCAACGCAGGCCCAAGGGGGCCAGGCCTGGGGTCTTCTGGGAGCTCTGATGCCTCGAGTCCGAGCGTAGCCGCCGAAGCCCGAAGGCGAGCAGGGCAAGAGAGGACCTCGAAGCGACCGACTCTAACGGCAATCTTAGCGCCGAGCTTGCAGTACCCGCAGCGGAAAATCCTCCTCCCTGGGACTTTGACAAACACGTGTCGGAGATGAGACGGGGTGTCGCCCGTGTCCCCTTCCGGGGGGGGGGAGCGCGGCGGGTGCGCTTAACCCGAGGCTTGGTGGGACAGCGCCCGGTGCCACCATGGATGGTGAGGGCGCGCGCCATCCATCGGAGACAAAGATTATAATTCTGAAAGGCGACAGCCATGGCCTTGCGGGCCTGTTGCGAAGCACAATGTAGATCGCGCCCTCTGGTGGCAGCCAGGTCGGCCCACCGATTACCTCGCGCCACTTCGCTGCCGCCCCGCTGACGCCCTTTACAAAGCTCGAATGAGACGCCACTCTGGAGACCGCCGAGGTCTTGAATTTTTCCCCAGATGGCCTCCCATAGGTCCAGGTTGTTTCGACGAGGAGCTAAACACCAAGCTGGACCCCTGACAAGCCCATCGGGTAAACCTTTCAAGTCGGTAACTAGAACGACAGGAGGCAGGCAGTCCATCAGAACTTGAAGGGCAGCGAACATCTCAGCCCGAGGGGAGGTCTGCACATGACCTGGCAAAGCTCCGTAAACAACACATTGAACTCCCGGTCGCGATCAGTTAAGGTGGCGAAGCCCCACCCTGCTCGGGCCGACTCGGGCCAGTGCCAGATTCGACGACAGGCTCCGTCCGTGTAGACCCTGCCCGAGACGCCCCATGGGTTTCCATACAGGATGTGCCAGGCCCCCGAGTCGTCCCGAGGTGGTAGTACGGGGAAACAAGAACGCCCAATAAGTCCACGATCCCAAAACCAAGAGCCCTCGACACACGGTGGAAAGCCACGAGTATCCAAGCGAAACATCACCTGTTCACGTTCTTGTGATCGTACATCGGACGAGCATTTCCAAACCACATGATGCACCCCGCATTTCTCGGCACCGCACATCGCACACTCTGAGCAATCCGTGTACCCCAGCCGTGCAAGCCTTCGCGGTAGCCAAACGCCACCTGTGACGAGCGCCTGAAGCATGCCAGCCTCTCGCTGGTCTGGTTCCCAGCGCGAGGAAGCACGCTGCTCGTAGTGGCTGCCGTGATGGTCGGGGGGGGGGGGGCTGTTCAGTGTCCACCTCTGAATCCGACTCCTCCACGCGAACTCGACCCAGGGCCTTCAGGAGGGGCTCGACCCAGTAGCCAGTGGATTCTTTCGGGACCATCTCCTGGGATGTGCTTTCGGGCCTGCTCGCCCACAGGGCCCATCAGCGACGAGCGGCAGACTCTTTAGCAAGCGCAAGCAAGGTCGAAGGGGCATCTCTGCGGAGGTCCAAGATGCCCCCCAAGGTCGGTACGACATACATGAGCTGAGACCGTGGTCCACCCGAGATCTCGAAAGGCCAGAAGTGTGGCCCCAGCAGGGCCTGCGACTTAGTCCAAGGCTTGGGGTGGTTGTAGAGGATGCGGCTTTGCTGGCTCCAAGCCCTCTGTAGTACGTCACCCGACACAGCCTTGTCACGATGCAACAGTGCCCACTGATAAATCGGGGCGCGCCAGGCCATCGCCTGGGGGTCGGCCAGACTGTCGGGCTGTAGCGTCGCACTCAGCCACGCTGAAGTGGCGCCTCCTGGCGCATGCCAGGCACTGCGCAAGAGGCGCTGTATGCGGTGCACAAGTCGGGGCGGGAGGCCATGTACTCCTGCCCCGTAACTGAGGGCTGGGGGGGACCGCCTGTCGTACGAAGCGGTTGACCACTCGCCCTGCCCTCCGTGCACTGCGAAATCGGGGTGCCCTTCGACCTGTGGCCCGAAGTCGGGATCGTAACTTGTGATACCGTAACGGACGTCCTGCAGCCACATCAACCCCAAGAACCTCCAGGGCACTGTGATATACAAACCCAAGAGCCCGAACGATGTGACAGATGGCCCGTCCTGTTTTGGGATGGCTGCACGCGGTTTTCATCTTATTCGCAGCCGCTGGAAGCTCAAGGCGTTCCAGCACGCCATGTAGTAAACGCAGCATTTTGGGTCCCTGGTCCAGAAGGGCCTCGATCGAACCAGCGATCGAACTCGCGGCGTCATCAGCGTAAAGGTCGATGGACCGAGAGATGGTGTATTTGTGCCTATAAAAGGCATCGAAAGGCTGCATCATGATGCATTGCAAAGCATACATAGCCAACGCACGCCCAGGCAGAACCCCACGACTCGCCCAAGTAGCCGCAGAGTAGGCCCCATCCCACACCAAACGCCGTGCAGAGCCATACATACGGAGAGCCACTGTGATTAACGCACCTGGAAATTGATGGACCCCAGCGGGAGCGAGGAGCTTCCGCCAAGGTATCTTGTCGAAACACTTGGCAATGTCGACGATAGCGTGTAGGGAAGCCTGAGTCGGATCGTCCCCTGTGTGGGCCTCAGCGTGAACCAGGAGTCGAGCAGCCACGTCTGTGGTGGCCTTCTGTACCCCTAAGGCTAGGTAGGGGCGGCATAGCTGAGAGGCCCATTCTCGTACAAACGTCATCCTGGCTTTCGCCCACGCACGGTAAACCGAGGGCAGAAGGGCGATGGGGCGGTAGCCCCCAAGGGGCTTAGCCAAAAGGGCGATGTGCACGTGACGCGCATGTTGGGGCCAGGATCCAAATACTTCACATAGGCATAGCAAGTGCCCAAGGAATGAGAGGCCTTCGTTCGATAAGAAAACCCAGTGTCGTGGGCGGAATCGGTCAGCACCCGCAGCGGTACGGGTCGGAAACTGCATAGCAGCCTCTCGGATCTGCGCAATCCTACAGGGGTGGAAGTCGGGGCCCGTGCTCACACAGGTGGCGCATTTCCTCCACGATGTCGTCAAAACATTCAGGATTGTGTATACTTTCCGAAAGATGCGACGGGGCCCCGGGGGTGCTGTCCCAGACTAGGCCCCATGAGGTACGCTGTGAACCGACAACCTCGTCAGGGAAGCTAGTAGGTCCGAGGGCCCCATGGACTTGAGATAAGTCCCGCCCGCGGGGTTTCGTCCACCTGTGTGCTGCACCAGGCTGCGTGCTCAGTAGTCGTCGCAACCAAGCTGTAAAGGACTTCGCTCGCGCCTGCCCCAGTCGTCGACGCTCCTCTTGGGCAGCCAAGCTCCCAAGATAATCCCCCACGAACTGAAACAGCGCATGGTGTAGGTGAGGGGCGGGGGATCGAGGATGAGGAGGAGGAGGAAGAGGAGGAGGAGGATCGAGGAGGAGGAGGAGGAGGAGGAGGAAGAGGAGGAGGGGGAGGAGGAGGAGGAGAGGAGGAGGAGGAGGAGGAGGAGGAGGAGGAAAAAGGAGGAGGAAAAGGAAGAGGAAGAGGATGAGGAGGAGGAGGAGGAGGAGAAGGAGGAGGAGGGGAGGAGGAGGAGGAGGAGGAGGAGGCGGTGGAGGACGAGGAGGAGGAGGGAGGAGGAGGAGGAGAGGAGGGAGGAGGAGGAGGAGGAGGAGGAGGAGCAGGAGGAGGAGGAGAAGGAGGGAGAGTGGAGTGGAGTGGAGCAAACCGAGACGCGGTCGTGCGGGCCCCCAGCGCCCGCCGCGTTCAGCCGCTCGCGGCCATCCGCGAGCGCGCCCCAGCACGGCGCAGGACCGAGGGCACCCACCCGCAAGGAT